CACGGCCGCCGGGACGGGTCCTGCGGAGCCCCGCCGAGGGGGAGCGTCGCGGGGCGGGAGGCCCCCACGGGCACGGATTTCCCCGTCTGTCCGTGCGAACGGCCCTCGTCTCTGCAGGGTGCACAAACTCCTGCAATTATTACCCGGTCTGCTCTCCCACGCGCTGTTCTGCCCGTGTGTACATGTATACACACACGTGTGTGTGTGCCTAGGTATATACATATATATGGGTATCTATGTACATACTTGTACGTGTGTGTATCTGTGTATATACATATACGTGTGTGTATCTATGTATATACATATGTGTGCGTGTGTATGTATATACATATTCGTGTGTGTATCTATGTATACACATATACGTGTATGTGTATCTATGTATATACATATACATGTATGTGTATCTATGTATATACATATACATGTATGTGTATCTATGTATATACATATACGTGTGTGTGTATCTATCTATTAGCTGGCTAATAGCACAAGCACGGGGGTGGATTTCATCACCTTCCCCAGCAAGCACTAGACACTCATACAAATCCCATTTCTTATTCTGTTCAGAACGCGTGCCTACCTCAACCATTTACTTATTAAAAGGTCATCATAAGCACTAGTTGATTACACCTCTTTTCTCCATAAAAATTTGACAGCTTGTCTGCGCTCAGAAACTCATGAAAGGTCACACTGCAGGTTTTCTCAAATGAATCATCTCTACCTGATCAAGCAGCCTTGACTGTTTTTTTTTTTTTAAGTCCCCAGAAGCTTATTTGTGGTGGTGGTGGTGGTGTCTAAATATTAATCCTTCTTCCCAAATCAGAGCTGGATTAGCAGAGTTGTATCTCTCTAATCACAGGTGCACACACTTAGGATAGACAGCTGCTTTGACATATTTGGCTGGGAGTCCTGCCCTCTCAAAATACAGCCCGTACCAACAGGCAGGGCCACATCCATGCTCTATGTTCATCTGCTGGAATGGTGAAGTGCTGATTTACGTTTGTTGCCCTTTCCCTTTGGGCAGAGCTTGTAGGCAAAAATGGACAAGCGGCTCAGTTTGTCAGCCAGTTGCAACTGTACCATACCTCAGCATATTAATGAGTAACACATCTTTAATGTGGTTTTTATTTATGTTACCTGGGAGAGAGAGGGAAAAGGTTTATGATTTTGCATCAGACAATGTTTCTAAGATTTTTGTGTATTCTGTAATGAAACATTGATACAATCCCATTAGTGGCAGGTTGAAGCTCTCTGATAGCAAAGGCTGCAGAGACACGAGGCTGGCCAGGCGGGTGTGTGCCGTAACACCGATCCAAAGCAGGATGGAGTGCAGAGCAGGATGTGGCCCTTCGTCATCAGGTGCTGGGGAAAGCCATGTTCAAAATCAATCAAGTGGTAGTTTTCCCTAGAGTGTGTGAATATAACTCTATCCTACTTTCGTAGTGTTAAAAACTCTTTCTTCTGTCTGCTTAACCTTTTGAAAAGCAAATGATCTAAAAAATTCTGGAGTTGAATTTCAATACTTAGAAGTGCTGCTTTTAGTTTCCTGAGAAATGATGCTCCCAGGTAGGCTTGCGCTGTCTTCCATGCAGGTTTCTCTGATTTAGTCACATACAATATTTCTAGAGTGAAATTCTAGCTCAGTTGCATTCAATGACAAAACTCCCATCAACTTTAATGGAGGCAGGATTTCACCCTTGATACGTTCTGCTAGCTGAGCAGTGTAGATAATTGATTATTTGTCAGACTCAGTCATTTGCTTACCAGTGTTTTCCTGTCCTTAGCATTTCAGTTTCTCTATTTTATTACTGGAAGTAAAACAAAACAAAGCCAAATATCCTCAACAAAAAGAACTGTGAGACAAACCTATTACTAGTATTATCAGAATCAGAATTTATGGCTTATTGATAAACTAGAAAAATGAAAAAAGGAATAAGCGATACTCAGGAAGAAAATGATGCTTATGTCTGCAGAGAAAAACAAAACAGCTTTCACTGACATTACAGCAATAGCTAATTCAGGGGTTAAGGACAAAGAGGTGGCTGAATGTTTCTTGTTCTATTTCCAAGGCAGTTTGAAAAAGTAGAGCAAGAAATGTTTTTTGGTTTGTTTGGGGTTTTGGGGATTTTTTTTTTGTTGTTGTTTTTATTTTTTTAGATAAGGAGACCTGTAAAGAGGCTGAAATGCTACTGACTTTAATTACTAGTTTATTGATTGGGGTAACATTTATGCAAGTGCTAAGGGGAGCATATTCCTCAAGAAAGGTGCAGTAATACAGTATTGCTGTTATTTTACAATTTGCTGAATTGCTAATAACAAGCAAGAATGGGGCTGCATGAATGTAAAGCAGAAGAGTGGTCAGTATTTTATCTGTAGTGATAAGATTTTGCCTGAAATTTGCCTTCATGCTACATGGAGAAAGATATCTCCATTGTAAGGAAGCATTCAAC